CTGGACCTTAGCTGCTGGGCTCCTGAGAATCTTGGGAGGCCGGGGGCTGTCTCTATTGAGTCAGAAGGACTGATCTGGCGGTTCCCAAGGATGGCAGGACTGTGCTCTCTGATCATCCCCATGGGACTTGGAGAAGCAGCAGCTGGTCTGCAGGGAATGTTTCAGGGCAGACAGTGGGTGGCACTTGGCTGTCTGCTGGGAGTGAAGTCCCAGCCCCACCGCTGCTGCTGAGGAATGCGGGGCAAGTTGCTGTGCTTTTCTGACCTTCATCAGTTTCTTCTGAAAAATGGGGTCTCATAGGTCCATTGCAAGAGTAACTGCTCTGCATATTCTAAAGCCTAGGAAGTGCCCATTCTCAGGTAGCACAGGCTCCTTTTCCATCTACCTGCAGATTCCCAGCTCCAAGGGGCTCATCTGCCAGCAAAATTCTAGTTTGATAACCCAGGACCCCACCCTATAGAGGACTGTGGTCTCTAGAAGGGAGTGGGTTTTCTCATCCTGGCCAACAGTGTTTTCCCTAGAAAGATGAGTACTAAAGACCATTGCTCCCCTCTCCCACTTTCCTTCTTCCTCCTCCATCCTCTCTTCCTTGGAACAGGGGAAGAGGAAAGAGCACAGGCTGAGCATGAAACTTGCTCCTCCACATGTTTGTGCTGTCTGGGTGGCTCTGGGCCAGTTATTTAACCACTTGAGGCTCAGTTTTCTCATCTGTAAAATGGGATGGAGTACTAGCACCATTCTTCTAGAGCCAGAAAGACAGCACCTATTGAAGGACCTACCATAGTACCTGGAGTGTCACTGGTGCCCAGGACAACCCGAGTCCCTGTCCCTGGCTACTTGCCCCCTGCCTCCTGCATGGAGCCTCATGCAATTTCTTCAGCCCTCACTGACCCTGACCAGCCTCACATCAGATGGTCTTCAGGCTTTCAATGAGGATGTGAGCATGCACGTCTTATTTCTGGATGAGTGCGCGGGGGAGTAAGTGAATGAACAGGGCAGAGAGCGCTGCTGTGGCTGCTCCTGAGCGGGGAGAGATCTTTTGGCCCCATTGGGCCTGCAGAGCCCCATGTGGGAGTTCCTCCTACCCAGCTCTCCTGGCTCTTATCTTATTTCCTCTCCAACTATCAGAGGAGGGGCTGGTTCCACTGTTCACAGTCAACACATCTAACCAGCCACCACTGAGTGCGGGGAGCTGCACGGAGCAAGGTCTGGGGGTGCTGTGGGTGGGAAGGGGTAGCATCTCCATCCCCCAGGCCAGCAGGACCCTCTTGCCCTAGTTGTGGGGACTCCTTCACCCGCCAGTGCTCTGGGGATTGGAAAAAGAAGTCCTGTGGGCCTGACCTTGTTCCTATTTCTCTGTGTGATCCTAGACCGTTTGCTTCATAGTCATCACAATGACACTGATACAGCGCTTGCTGTGTGCCAGGCCATGTTCTAAATGCTTTTATGTAATAACTCATTTAATGCTCCCAATAACTCTATGAGCTAGGTGCTGTTATGACTGACATCCAAGTTTTAGATTCAGAAAAAGGCTCAGGAAGGTTAAATGACTTGCCCAGGCACAGCAATGCTGGGATGTTACTCCCCCCGCCCCCACCGCCCAATATATTCATGGGTCACATTGGCATCTCCTGGGGACGGTCCCACCCCAGGCCTCTCTCTTGGTTCCCCCGTGGCCCCTGCACTGCCAACCTAGGCACCTCCTTCCCTCCACTGCAGAACCCCACGATGTCCGCCAACGCCACGCTGAAGCCGCTCTGCCCCATCCTAGAGGAGATGAGCCATCTCCGGAGCCACAGCAACACCAGCATCCGCTACATCGACCACGCGACCGTGCTGCTGCACGGGCTGGCCTCGCTGCTGGGCCTGGTGGAGAACGGAGTCATCCTCTTCGTGGTGGGCTGCCGCATGCGCCAGACCGTGGTCACCACCTGGGTGCTACACCTGGCACTGTCTGACCTGTTGGCCTCTGCTTCCCTGCCCTTCTTCACCTACTTCTTGGCCGTGGGCCACTCGTGGGAGCTGGGCACCACCTTCTGCAAACTGCATTCCTCCATCTTCTTTCTCAACATGTTTGCCAGCGGCTTCCTGCTCAGCGCCATCAGCCTGGACCGCTGCCTGCAGGTGGTGTGGCCGGTGTGGGCGCAGAACCACCGCACCGTGGCCGCAGCGCACAAAGTCTGCCTGGTGCTCTGGGCACTAGCGGTGCTCAACACGGTGCCCTATTTCGTGTTCCGGGACACCATCTCACGGCTGGACGGACGCATCATGTGCTACTACAACGTGCTGCTCCTGAACCCGGGGCCTGACCGTGACGCCACGTGCAACTCGCGCCAGGCGGCCCTGGCAGTCAGCAAGTTCCTGCTGGCCTTCCTGGTGCCGCTGGCGATCATCGCCTCGAGCCATGCGGCCGTGAGCCTGCGACTGCAGCACCGCGGACGCCGGCGGCCCGGCCGCTTTGTGCGCCTGGTGGCGGCCGTCGTGGCGGCCTTTGCACTCTGCTGGGGGCCCTACCACGTGTTCAGCCTGCTGGAGGCGCGGGCGCACGCCAACCCCGGGTTGCGGCCGCTTGTGTGGCGCGGGCTGCCCTTCGTCACCAGCCTGGCCTTCTTCAACAGCGTGGCCAACCCGGTGCTCTACGTGCTCACCTGCCCCGACATGCTGCGCAAGCTGCGGCGCTCGCTGCGCACGGTGCTGGAGAGCGTGCTGGTGGACGACAGCGAGCTGGGTGGCGCGGGAAGCAGCCGCCGCCGCCGCCGCACCCCCTCCACGGCCCGCTCGGCCTCCTCCTTAGCTCTCAGCAGCCGCCCCGAGGAACGGCGGGGCCCCGCGCGCCTCTTCGGCTGGCTGCTGGGCGGCTGCGCAGCGTCCCCGCAGAGGGGCCCCCTGAACCGGGCGCTGAGCAGCACCTCGAGTTAGAACCCGGCCCGGGTAGGGAAGCGCTCACACGCGAAAGCATCACCAGGGCACTGCGGTTCAACTTGATATCCGGACTCCAGCCGTAGTGATCAAAGTCGGAGGGGGCGGGACCCAGGCATATGCATTTTAAAGCGCCCCGGGAGACTCTGAATCTTTTTCAGAAACAGTGAGTTAAAGCAGTGCTTCTCAAACTTTGATGAGCCTGTGAAAAACCTCGGGGGTCTTGTTAAGTGCAGGCTGATTCAGGAGGCCGGGTGCTGAGAGTCTGCATTTAACAAGCTCCCAGGCCGCGAAGCCAGTGCGGCAGGTTCACAGAGGAGGCCTGGAGTAACACAAAGTGAAACTCGTAATAGACTTCCCACACTAGGGCTGTGGAGTCGGAAGGGCACACGGGCGTCTCCCTGGAGCTCAGTTTTACCAGATGATGGGAGAGGGAGTCTTATGTTAAACCAGCTATGCATTTTTGGAGAAGAGAGAGGCAAGGTTTGAGAAGCACTGTTCCAGTCGGCCCTCTTTATTTAGCCAGTGCTTACTGTCCTAGACGCTTTATCCCACAATCTTAAGGAGCAGCTTCTATTAGCCAGTCTTTACAGCTGAGCACATTCTGGCTCAGGGAGGTTAAGTGACGTGCCCAGTTTCAGGACTAAGGACCACAGGGGTCTGCACTGTAACCCTAGGCATCACATGCTCAATGACTCTGGTGAGCGAGGACATTCTCTGACTTACTGGAGGGACCTAAGATGCTACCCTGCGACCCAGCACTGCCCAAAGTGCTTCCAAGGCAGAAGCAGCAGGGGATGGCGTGGTCAAGCACTCGGGAAACCTGGGGCTAATCAAATCCAACCGGGGAAATGACTAAGTCTTCGGTCTTTAGAATTTGAATGGGCACAGCAACTCTGAGACTACAGCACGTGTCATTTCTTAGCTGAGCTGACCAGCCTCCCTGCAGGCCTGGTATTCTGTGGGATACCACTGGGTATCCTCTGGGCACTGGTAATCCCAAGATCTGTGCAGCCCCCGCCTCCAGGCTGCATGGGGCTGGGCAGCTACCATTTCCCATTTGTGGGTGGAAGGGGTAACTTGCATTTCTGACCTACCACTTCCACTGCACCGCGTCTCATTCCTCCATCTGCCATGGACTTGGGGTCAGGGACTGCTGGGTGTGAGCTCTGCGGCCCAGGGACTGAAAAACTGGCGCCAGTGAATTCTGTTTGGTGGATGAAACGTCAGTGGAAGAAGCAGATGAGAAACTCTTGAGATCTTGGTCCTGTATTTTTTTCTGCCACCAAAGCCAGGGTCACTGAAGGCCTGGCCCACAGCAGGCGTTGAGCAAAGGGAACAGTGAGGTGCCCAGCTAGCTGTATTGACACCCTGTATTGACACCTCACCCCTGCTCCCTCCTATCCCTTCCCCCTTTACTCATAGCACTTCCCCCATTGGACACGTGGTGCATTTTGTTTGTTTATTATGTTTCCTCTCCATTAGAATGAAAGCTTCTCGAGGGCAGGGACTTTGGTCTATTGTCTGTATTTGCTGGTGCCTAGGATTGTGCCTGTATGCAATAGGCACTCAATAAACATTTTTGCTGTAGACTGGACAGGCATGAGTTAGTCAGATTCTCTGGGGCTTCTGCAGAGTCTGGTTTGGAAAAGGAGGTACTGGGGAAAAACTCTGCTCCCCGCAACCTCACCATTTTAATCTTTCAGTGTTGAAAAGTGGAGAGGAGCCGGATTCAGTTTGCTGGGGACAGAGCCAGTGGGGTGTGGAGGTGCTCAGAGCAGTCTTTGGGAAGGTGTGGGGGGAAGCTGGGTTCCCAACTGCCAGCCTCCAGGCCTGGGATGGACCTAGCATGCTGAGAAAGGGCATACACCGCTGGGGGAGTCACCTGGCAGCCACCAACTCACTGAGGAACCAGAAGAATTGCTGTTCTTGGTTTGAAGGCACTTGGAGGAGAGGAAGGAGGGATGGGGGCTGAATCTCTTCCCGCCCCCATCTCTGCCAGGTCCCAGGTCCCCTCTGGGCTTCTGTCCGACACAGACCTGCCTGGAAGCCTTCAAAGGCCGAGGAGCCCCGGTCGAGGTGGGGTCCCTGTTCTGCAGCCACGGGGTTGGAGTGCTGGCTCCAGCAGAGGCGTCTGAGCAGCGGCCTGAGGTGCTGTGTCTGACATGATTGTTGGCCATGGAAGGCCTCGGGCTGTCCTGAGCTCAGATCTTGGCTGCTGGCCGCTGGGGCGGCTGCTTCTGCAGCAGGGCCAGGGTGTCCCGCTTCTCAATGGAGCGCAGCTGCTTCTTCTTTGCCCGCTTGAGCTTGGCGGGGTTTCGGATCTGGGGATGGTATGAGGGGAGGGCATTAGTGTGGCTGCAGCCTTGGTCCAAATTCCCAAGGGAGAGGAAGCTGCCCCACAGGGGCCTGAGATCACAGCATGACAGTGGGGGCACATGAGGCAGGGGTCGAGGCCCTGGTTTGCACCCCCAAGCGGGGCAGAAAGGCAAGGGGGGAAAACGAGACACTCACCACTTGGACGACTTCTGCCTTCCGCTCATTCTCCAGGCGGCGTTTCAGGTTCTCGGCCTGGCGCTGTTTCTTCTCCTGGAACATGCAGAAGGGGATTTGAGTCGGGGAGCAGAGGCGGCCCTGGTCTCCCAGACCCCAGAAGAGTGCAAGCCGGCAGAATTCCCACAAGGGGAAAGGCCCTCTAAACCAGGCTCCAGGTTGGTGATGTGTGGGTGGAGGGCCAGCAGGAGCAATCCGGTGCCACAGTCTAGTGCCAGGGGCCAGTGCCAGGGGCCCACTGTGGTGCAAGCTCCTGACAGCACGTTGGGAGGTGGGTACGGGACAGGCAACTGAGAACAGGGGCTGAGATATGGGGGGTGCCCACCTAGAGATTCACGCACATGCAGACAGTGGTCCCTTGGGCCACCCTCATCAACTGCCAAGGGAGAAAGGGGTGCTGGCCCTTCCCCCATTCCCACCCTCTTGGACGGTCCCCCCCTCTTCCCCTGGAGTCCCGCTGCAGCAGAATGCCAGGTAGGGGTGAGGGCTGGGTCCCTGAGATTTTCGCAGGTGTGGGGCTGGGGAGGGGCTGTACTGCACAGAAAAGGCTCTGGAGCTATCTGGGCTGGGTTCGAATCTTGATCCTGTTATTTCCTAAACAGATGACCTTAGCAAAGTCTGTGCCTCAGCTTCTCCATCTTTAAAGTGACAGTGACCACAGTATCTACCTTGTAAGATAGTTTTGAGAAATCATTGAGGGAATGCACATGCAGGGCTTGGAGCAGCCCCTAGCTCCTTGGGCACACTGAGACTCTCGATGGAGTCTGTCTTGGGAGGGGAAGCCCAGTGCTCTCTGGCCATGCTGACTGTGTCCCTCGGCAAGGCCAGGGTGGGGACGTCGGCTCCAAGGCTGCTGCATGGTTAGGGGTCTCTGCTGGCTTTGGTGACTTGGGGTAGCAGGGGTGGCCTAGGCCCTGGGGGAGGAAGGAGAAGTGAGCCGTGGCCTCTTGTGGTCAAGGCAGGCCTGGGCTGGGCAGGAGTACCTTTGCAGAGGACCGTGAGAAATGAGACAGCAGCTCTCTCTTGCCCAAGAGGGAGCCAGGGCCACACAGGAAAAGAGATAAGGCCTCAGTATACAGTGGCAGACACACCGTTCCTCGGATGTCAGCTGTAAGCTGAGCTGGGGTGACTTAAAGCAGGGGACAGAGACTGAGTGACTGGCCCACCGCTTTCCTCAGTGGCCAGGCTGGGAGCACGGGCTAGGGATGAGTTGTCTGAATCCCGTTCAGCACTCCTCCTACACCCCTGGGGTCATTAGAGGAGTGGAGGAAGAACCTCCCGCTGATGTCTCTGCCCTTGGGGGCAGGTGCTGACCAATGCCACCCCGCTTTCCCTGCATGCTGCCTGCTAAGCATGGCCTCTTCCCCCCACCCCCACCCCCCCTGCCCCCCACCCCCGCCCCCGCCCCCACCCTCACCCCCACCCCCGCCCCCCGCTGAAAAGTTCCTGGGAGATGTGGGTGAGGCTGTGACCCTTTACAGGGGCTTCCTGGCTCCGGGATGGGTGACAGGGGACAGAAGTGGAGGAGAGGTGTGGGGGCTGCTGCTTGGAGAATGACAGCAGCCATACCGGGGACATGGATTTCCAATCTGCAAGCCCTTCCCAAGTGAGTAGGTTCCAGCAAAGGGCCCTCGACCCCATCTCACTGATGGCCCTACCCCCCAGGGCTTCCTCCTGGGCCTCTCCCCATGGCCTGCTGCTGGTCCTCCCCCTCCGTCCCTGTCCCTGAGGCTCTCTCAGCAGCCCAGGCTAAACTGGATGGTCCCCTGGGCCTCCCTGCCCTGTGGTCCCAGACTGCACTTCTGCTTCTGGCCAGGTGCCCTTCCTCCCTCGGGCCTTCAGATTCAAGAACGTTTCTTAACCAAGTCGGCCTCCCCCAGGCACCCGTGGAAGCTCCCGCCTCAGGTTGTACCAGCAGACACCAGCTCAGCCTGGCTGGGCCCTCACCTGGCGGCGCCTCTCCTTCTCCTCCTCCAGGTGACGGGCAAAGTCCTTGGCCAGCTTCCTCTCCTGCCGTTCCTTCATCTTCCGCTGCCACGACGTGCGCAGGGGCTTGTCCTGAAGCATCTGGGAGAATCTGAAAGGGGGAGAGTGGGTGCGTACAGGGTCTGTGGGGCGAGCGCCACCCATGCCCTGTCTCTTCTCAGCCGTAGGCTCTGGACCTTCTTCCCCAGAGGCCAGGCAGAACCACCTCCTTGATGGCCCGACAGGCAGCCCTCCAGGTCTGCAGAAACTTGGGGTGGGAGGGAACCCGGATTGTGCTGGCTGCCATTTCTCAAGCCTTGGCTACATGCCTCTGAGGTGGGTACTCCTGTCTTCTCCACTTACGGAAGAGCAGGCCAAGGTGCGGAGAGGTTAAATAGCTGACTAAAGATACCTTGTTCCTAAGTGGCAGTCAGGACTCGAACCCTGTCAGCGACTGCAGAGTCCAGGCTACGCGCCCCCTGCTGTAAAGTTCTGCTGCTTCCGCCAAGCGCATTTGGCCTGGATGTGAATGCCTCTGGAGGTGGGGCGCTCACCCCCTATGGAGGCGGCCCATTCCAGTTGAGAGCAATGTGAGTGGTTAGAGTTCTGGGTAATGATTCAGAATCTTCCCCGCCAAGACTGGATGCGGTGGCTCATGCTTGTAATCCCAGCACTTTGGGAGGCCAAGGTGGGCGGATCACATGAGTCCAGGAGTTGGAGACCAGCCTGGCCAACATGGCAAAACCTACCAAGCCTACTAAAACCTACTAAAGTTTCTACTAAAGATACAAAAATTAGCTGGATGTGATGGTGTACGCCTGTAATCCCAGCTACTTGGGAGGCTGAGGCACAACAATTGCTTGAGCCTGGGAGGTGGAGCTTGCAGTGAGCAGAGCGCGCGCCACTGCACTCCAGCCTGGGTGACAGAGCAAGACTCTGTCTCAAAAAAAAAAAAAAAAAAAAAGAAAAAAGAAAAAGGAAAACAAGAATCTCTTCCCCCAGTTGGAGACGGAGTGTGCATCAGGGCTCTCAGGGAAATCTGAAAAGAGCGACGATGATTTTAGAGTTACAGGAGAACTGAGCTCATCTCCATAAGAATGCATACTATAAGGATTTATGAATGGGATGATATATCTAGGATGTACTTTAAAATATTTCAGGGAAAAAAAATGCCAAGGATCGGCCGGGCGTGGTGGCTCACGCCTGTAATCCCAGCACTTTGGGAGGCTGAGGCGGGAGGATCACCTAAGGTCAGGAGTTCGAGACCAGTTTGACCAACATGGAGAAACCCTGTCTCTACTAAAAATACAAAATTAGCTGGACATGGTGGCGCATGCCTGTAATCCCAGCTACTCAGGAGGCTGAGGCAGGAGAATCGCTTGAACCCGGGAGGCGGAGGTTGCGGTGAGCCGAGATCGCCTACTGCACTCCAGCCTGAGCAACAAGAATGAAACCCCGTCTCAAAAAAAAAAAAAAAAAAAAAAAGAGCCGAGGATCAAAGATGAAACTAGACTAGTAAAATGCTGAACTGTGTTGATGCTGATAATGGGGACTTGAGAGCTTTGCTCTCTCTTTGTATGCTTGAAAATTTCCATTCAAAAAAAGTAAAAACGAAATGCAAAGAAGTGTCTGGTGGCCTCCGCATACTGAAGTTAGGCCTTTCTCTTTTAGATTCAAGGCCCATTTTGGTGTCCCTCGGACGACTTCTGGCCCCAGCTCCCTGATTTCCTTCTCCCCTTCTCAAAGTCCTGCCACCAGCTCCCTGATTTCCTTCTCCCTTTCCCAGGGCCCTGCCACTGAAGGCCTGGCCTCCTAAGCACTAAGAATGGGGTGCCACATGGACCTCCCCCATAACTGTAAAGCTGGGCTTCCCAAGCTGGGGTACAAGAACCCTGAAGGGACAAGGTGGTGGGAGCCTAGAGACACACAGAACCACAGGACACAGCGCTGCATCTCTGTAGAGCAGGGCTGTCAAACAACTTTCTGTGATGGTGCAAACATTCCACATTGACACCGTCTAATAAGGTAGCCACTAGTCATGGGTGGCTGCTGAGCGCTAGAAATGTGGTTGGTGTTGATAGAGAAACTGAATCGTACATTTTATTTAATTTTAATTAATTTAAATTTACATAGCCACATGTGGCTGGCAGCTAAGGTACTGAGGCAGGGCAGTTCCAGACCATCGGTTCTACCTGTGTACTGAAGGAACTCAGGCCTGGGTTCCAAGTCCAACCACTTACCACCTGGGTGACCTTGAGCAAGGTAGCCTCTCTGAGTCTCAGCATCCTCTCCAGTGGAGATGAGAATCATTCCTAACCCAAAGGGTGGTAGGAGATTTAAACCTATTATGGAGCACATAATAGGTGCTCCATAAACGCTACTCCTCAGAGAAGTCAGACAGCTTGCCCGAGGGGCACTACGGAGAACGTGGCGTTTGGCATGAGCATGAAGGCAGGGCTGCAGCCAGGTCTCCCTCAGCACACACGCTTTCCCAGCTGTGGCTGTCTTCCTCCCTGCAGCAGGAGCTGCTTCCCATCCATCTCCCGGTTCACTCACCACCCACTGAAGCTGCTCCCTCAAAGATCCTAAACATTCATTTAGTGGCCCTACGGGGCCCCTCTCCACAGACCTGCCTGCAGCTTCTGAAGCTGTTTTAGTTCTCTTGCAACAGCCTCCTTGTGGGTTTCCCTGCCTTCACCCCTGCCGGCCTATGTCTGTGTCCAGTAGCCAGGCTGATCTCACAAGTCAGGTCATTTCATTCCTTTGCTTGACACCCTTCCATGGCTCCCAAGCTCACTCAGGAAAGCTGGAGTCCCTGCAGGGGTCACCAGGCCCTGCTGTCTCTCTGACCTCATCTCCTACTGTTTCCCCTTCTCCCCCTCATTCCAGCAGCAAGACCTCTGGAATACTTCTCAAGCGGGAGCTTGCTCCAGCCCCAATGCCTCTGAACTTCCCTTTCCTCTTGCCTGGATACTGTTTCCCCAGATCTCTGCCTGGCTTCCTCTGCTCAGGCCTCTTCATCTGCGAGGCCATCTCTGACCACTGTGACAATACCCAGCCCTCCCTGTTATTCTCTGGTCCCTATCCTGGTTTATTTTTCTTGAAAGTCTTTATTCCAGACATATCATGTGTGTACTTGTTCTTGATCCGTTTCCCACAATTACAACGTTTGCTTCAGGAGAGCAGAGGCTTTTTGTTCACAGCCATGTTTACCCCAGATCTGAGCAACTGGTTGATGAATGAACGAACTACCTTCTGTCCTCATTCATCCACTTGTTCAGCTTAGTGCCTGCCCGGCTTTGGGCTCTGGGGGATCTAGTCATGAGAGGTAAGTCCCCACTCTCACACTCTCATGGAGCCTCTGGTTTAAAGGATAACAGGCAGTCAGTAAGAATCACGGAAATAAATAAGCATTTGTGCAAACAGAGGTGTTACAAAAGAGAAGGACAGCACACGATGAGAACATAAAGCACGGGGACTTAACCCTCGCTGGATAAGCCAGAGAGGCTTTTCAGAGAAGGTGACATTTGAGCTGAGCCCTGAAACATGAGTGGGGGACTGGCCAAGGGAAGAGCCTTTCAAACAGTGGGAACAGCACGTGTGAAGGCGCTGAGGAAGGAGGCAGCATCACACACGGGGGAAACATGGAGGGGACGTCAGTGTGGAAGCTCTAGTGATGGAGGGGAGAGGAGGGTGGGCCTGCCGGCCTCATTAAGGAGGCTGGAGTGCGTGCTCTGAGTGGGCAACAGCGAGTCAGGAAGGGTCTGCAGTTGGGCAGGGAGCTGAGACCACAAACCCTCTCTCCAGACTTCTTAGTCAAGTGATCTGTGGCCTCCTACTCTGCTCCAGCTGCTGATTCTGTGTCTTGTGCGGGCCCCTCCCTTCTCCTCACCTGTGCATGGGCCCCCTTGAGCTCAGCAAGCCCATCTCACCTGCAGCATGAGTACCAGGACCCAAGCTTCACTCGCTCAACTTGCTCATCACCCTCTTCCCACCTGGACCAGCCTCCTCCAGTTCCACATGGCCATCAATGGCCCGGCCATTCTCCTGTGACCCGCTGGGACAGGGCAGAGGGGTAGTGCCATCATCCACTTCTCCAACAGCTACAGTCACTCTAGCTTCAAAGTCTCTCTCATGGGAGACTTGCAATAAATTACTCTGTAAGCCTCAGTTTCTTCTGTTGAATCAGGGGTGGGGGGATAATACCCACAGCCTAGGGTTTTAAGGGTACAAGAAAAGGGCCTAGCACGAAGCCTGGCACAGAGTCAGCTTCTTCCCTAAAAACACCCCCCTTCCTTATGGCCCCTCACAGGCATGCATCCCGGACTCTCCCCTGTGGCTCCCATTAGCTTGAATTGGAACTGAACCCCACACCTCTCCTTCACGGCGGCCTAAACTCTTCCTTCTTCAGACGAGCCACTTCGTTCCTTCCTTAAATAAGCATTCATTGAGCATTTACTATGCTCTTGGCCCAGAAAGACAAGAAAGATCTTGTGCCTGCCCCTTAAGAAGGTTGCAATCCAATTCAAGGTGGATCTACAGGGATTGGGTAAAGGAGTTTTGCACACAGCCTTCGGAATCAGATCTGTGCTCAGATCCTGTGCCTACCACTCATTTAGCCTCGGTTTCCTCACACAAAAAACAGGAATACCACCACCTGCTTCACAGAGCTGATGTGCAGATTAAGTGTGATGATACGTGCTGTTCCATGTTTGAAAGGCTGTATATAATCAGTGCTCAGTAATACTTTTCATCTTAAAGGCAAATAACTGTAACAGACTATATTGGATGAAGACTTCACTGCTTTGATCAAGTAATGGCTGGTTTACTTGCTTCTGCCTCACTCACTAGAGAGGGCAGACAATGGTAAATGTCTGTTGAACGAATACACAACTGAGGTGCTACAGGAGAGGCCCATAGGGACCCCGAAGAGGAAAGGCATCAGAGAAATTGATCTTTGAGGGCCTGGTCACCCCCCTCCGGGATCCCAGGTCATTTTACCACATTCTGATTGTAATTACCTGTTTGCTGACACCCTCACTAACGTGAGCTCTCTCTAACCCTGGGGCTATTCTCCAGGCTGCAGCAGGGCAAAGGCGGGGTCCCAACACCATAGAGAACGCCACCCCTGTCCAAGCTGTCCCTTACTTCACCTTTTCTTGGAGCGGTCCTTCCAAACTCGCCCCGATTTGGGCTTCCCCTTCGGGATTACAGGAAGCTCCTCTTTGTTCAACTTCTTGGACGCTGGGGCCTGGGATGAAGAACCTTTTCGCTTCTTTGCCCCGAGGCCGCCTGTCACCGTCTCCCCAGCTGGAGGTGGCTTGCTCGGCTCATGCTGACCCCGCGGGGAGCCAGGTGCCTTGGGTGTCAGCTCCAGTAGTGGCTGAGAGGGCTCCGGACCGGGAGCTTGCTGACCGGGGTAAGGCTCTGGTGATCCTGGGCCCGGCGGTAGCTGATGCTGGGGGGCCCCCGGGGTCAGCTCCTCCTTACTCTGGGCCAACTCCGAGGCCAGTACTCCCTGGTCCTGAGAACACTTTGATGCCTCCTCACTTGACTTCGGCTGACATCGTGGGGATTCAGGACGGGACTCCGGCTGTCTTTGAGGCGACTCCAGGTGTAGGTCTTGCTGACGCTGGGGGGACCCTGGGCCTGGCTCTGGCTGCACTTGGGGGGACTCCAAGCCTGCACCCTGTTGCAGACGGGGTGATCCTGGGCTTGTCTCCGGCGGTCTTTCCGGGGACCCCAGGCCAGCTTGCTGCACACTAGGAGGAGACCCAGGCTCCCTCGTTTCTTCTGGGTTCGACTGCAACTCCACAAGGGCCCGTCTCACCCGCGAAACTGAGGTGAGGCTCTCGGGGGATTCGGGCCTTAGGCCTCCCAGCCGTCGGCTGCGCCTTAGCGGTGTATCCATGCCTCAGCGGGTAAGTTTCCACACCCCTGCACACGTGCAGACCCCGCCGACAACCGGCGCCTTCCTATGACGTCATGAGTCGCCACGTCCGTGACGCGCAGGAGGGGCTGTTGCTGAGGCGGCCGTGTTGGTGAGGGATGCAGAGGCGGGACTGGGAGTGGGGTGGGGTGGGGCTCAGCATGCGCATGCGCAATTCGCGCGGGCTTCGTTAAGTGATTGATGAGCCAGTCTTTTTTCTAGGATTCGCTTTTGCCTTTCTTGCAAAGTTTCCTGGGGAAAGAAGAGCGAGCACGTAGGAAAGGGAAAGTGGGAGGACCCATTTCAGGGAGAGAACAGAGTTGAAAAAAGGTCCGAGGAGCCTTAGGCAAGGCCTGATGGAAGTTTTGTGGCCAACTCCGGTGCAGTTGGGCAGGGTCCTGCCCTCCTTGGGCCTGTTTTTGCACTAGCTTCGTGCATCCCAAATGACCCTGTCGGAGTCCTTCTCCCAGCAGCCTGAGGGAATGCTACCTGGGGGTCGTGGAGGTGGAAGATCGGTCTTTTCTGTGTTAATTGTTCACACTCTTGCTTCTCCCGTCCTGTGCTTCCGTATATAATCCATGGCTCTCCCTTTTCAGCCTTTTCAACGTCTATGAGTGAAGCTGAGGTACCAATAAGATGCAGCACCTTTGTCCTGTGGCTCACCTGGGCCCTCGACCAGCTGCATACGCTCCCACGTCCCTCTTTTTCTGCCCCAGTTCTAGAAACAGGTTGGATCATCTCTGATCTTCCTTTCAGCCCAGACAGTGGTTTTTGCCCGTGTGTCAACCTGCCTCGCCTCCCCTCCCTTCCCTTGCTATTCAACTGTAAATGTACTTTGCTTACTGAGCACTTTGGGACCTCACCAGTGAGCAGGTGTTGCCTTCTGGACCTCCCAGGGCCTAGAGAAGATGGGATTGGGAAATGTCGGGCTGTGTAGACCTTCCTGTGAGACCTAGGAGTGAGGCTTTGATTTTCTTACAGCATGCTTCTTAGGAAGAACATCTTGGAAGCGGCCCAGTTGCGTGATTATTGGGACTGCCTGGGGTTGGCTATTAGAGGTCCCAGGGCCCCTGTCCAACATTCCAGTGGTTTCTTTTGAAACCATTCCATTGTTTCTCCAGCTGGGGGCTTGCGAGAGGGCCTGGGAAATTGTCCAAGAATATCAGGAGTCAGAGTGTTCTCAACTTCCTCATGTTCCCGAGCTAAGGAGACCCCTGCAGGGGGACTTCGCCTGCCTTGCTACTCCTCCCCTGCCATGCAGCTGTCCACAGAAGAAGCAGCTGGGACACCTTCTCGCCCAGCTCTTCCACCCCTCAACTGTCAGAGGAGTGAGTTCTGTTCCGTTCCTTAAATGCCCTGCCCCTGCCTAGAGATCCCAATGATCCGACACTCAGAACCAAGCCTGGCAGGCATTGCCAGGGTGCTGGAGGAGACTGTATGCCCCTCTGCCCTGCTCCAGTCCCCCTAGGCTTGCCCTGCCTCCTAAGCTCTTGTCCCCAGCTGGAGGGATCACTCTCCAGTGCCGACTGGATCATATCCTAGTCTAACCTGAAATACTTCAGAGAGTGATCTCAGGTTTTCACCAGAGAGAGGGAGATGTTTTTCAGAGGAGGCCTTTGGGTGTCCCCCTGACATTTGGAGGCACTTTGTCAACCTCAGCATCAGGTGGGCTCTGGCCCAGAACCCCCTACTCCCACCTGAGCTCAGTTTGTCATTGTCATTATACATGGTGTGCAGAGGCCTTGAGTAGACTCCTGAAATTTTCAGAAGAGCCTGGTGTGGTGGTTGCTGTTGGGACCCTGTCCCCTTACACTCCTTTGCTTTCTTTTAAAAATTATTATTTTTGAGACAGGGTCTTGCTCTGTTGTCCAGGCTGGAGTGCAGTGGCACAATCACAGCTCACTGCAGCCTTGACCTCCGAGGCCCCAGGGAATCCTCCTGAGCCTCCTGAGTAGCTGGCACCACAGGCTCATGCCACTATGCCGGGCTATTTTTATATTTTGCAGAGACGGGGTCTCCCTGTGTTGCTCAGGCTGGTCTTGAACTCCTGGGCTCAAGTGATCCTCCTGCCTCGGCCTCCCAAAGTGTTGGGATTACAGGCATGAGCCACTGTGCCTGGCCGCTCCTTTGCTTTTATTGCCGCTTTCTACATCCCAGCTTTCTTGCCTTTGGGTGGTAGGTTACTGAGGGGCTTCTCTGCAGCCCCCAGAGTCCCCCAGCAGGATTGAACTTGTATTGCCCACAAAGGTAACCTGCTCATGCACCCTCTTTTGGCTTCATCCCTGTCTCATTTCCCCATTTTCTTATAGATGCTTGCTGGGGTCATTTTCAGAGGAGGCAAATATTGTACTTAATCCTCTTCTCAGAGTTGGCTTCTGGAGAAAGCTAGCCCGAAACACTGGTGCCGGCCATGATTGGTCCAGGCGTTGTTTCAAGCACTCTGCAAGTACAAATCCATTTCTTAATGCTTCTCCCAACAATCCTGTGAGGCAGGTACAGTTGTTATTACTCCCATTTCACAGATAAAGAAACTGAGAGGCTGTGTGTGGTGGCTCACATCTGTAATCCCAGTACTTTGGGAGGCCGAGGCAGGCGGATCACTGGCGGCCAGGAGTTCAAGACCAGCCTGGCCAATATCCCAAAACCCCATCTCTACTGAAAGTACAAAAATTAGCTGGGCGTGGTGGCAGGCACCTCTAGTCCCAGCTACTCAGGAGGCTGAGGCAGGAGAATTGCTTGAACCTGGGAGGTAGAGGTTGCAGTGAACTGAGATCATGCCACTGCACTCCAAGCTGGGCGACAGAGCAAGACTCTGTCTCAAAAAAAAAAAAAAAAAAAAAAAGAAAGAAAGAAAGAGAGAGAAAGAAACGAAAAGACTGAGGCACAGAGAGGCTGAGACACTTGTAAAGTTCACACAACAAATAAGTGGTGGAAGCAAAATCCATACTAGACTGTCTGATTCCAGAGCCACAACTCTTAACAGTAAATCTGTCTATTACCCAGGCAAGGAAACAGACATGGGAAGGCTAAGGTGCTTGCCCCAAATCAGACAGCGACACATTCAGGAGCCAGGATTGTGGTTCCAGAGGTGGCATGCTTAGCTGCCTTGCAGCTGCCCCCACGTGGGCCCTGCTCGCCTATTCCTCACACTGATCCTGGTCTGTGTGCTGGGAGGTGCTGGGTACCACCTGGCACACACCATCGTGCAGAATGTGCCAAATCAGCAATACCAGCTTTTTTATGTAACCTGAGATCTGCTGACTGACGGAAACCAAGCGCTGGCAGATGGACGGAAGATAGGAATCAGGTGTTCTCCTCTGAGTCATTGACCTCCCCTCAGCTAAGGGGTGCTGCGGTTGAGAGGGTCTGACAGTTCCCAGATGTCAGGGACCTGGGTCCCCAAGGCTCTCTGTTCAACGCCTAGCCTTGCCTGAGATACTTCAGAGGGTGATCTCAGGTTTTCACCAGAGAGAGGGAGATGTGTTTTAGAGGAGGCCTTTGGGTGGGTCCCCAAACACTTGGAGGCACTTTGTCAGCCTCAGCATCAGGTGGGCTCTGGCCCAGAACCCCCTACTCCCACCTGAGCTCAGTTTGTCATTGTCATTATACGTGGTATGCAGAGGCCCAGAGGAGACTCCTGAAGTTTTCAGAAGAGTCTGGTGTGGTGGTGTACTTGCAGAGCGCTTGAAACAATGCCTGGACCAATCACTGCTTGCCCCAGTGTTTCAGGCTGGGTTTCTCCAGAAGCCAACTCTGAGAGAAGGACAGGGAAAGGGCCCCTGGCGGTCACCGGCAGCGTTAACTGAGCATTTACCATGCATTGTTTCAAGCACTCTGCAAGTACAAATCCATGTCTTAATGCTTCTCCCAATAATCCTGTGAGGCAGGTGCAGTTGGTATTACTCCCATTTTACAGATAAAGAAACTGAGAGGCTGGGTGCGGTGGCTCACGTCTGTAATCCCAGTACTTTGGGAGGTCGAGGCAGGTGGATCAGTGGATGCCGGGAGTTCAAGACCAGCCTGGCCAATTCAACAAACACGTTTTGTTTTTTTGATTTTACTGACCAGCCTGCGGTTCGGGAGGGTGATGTTCAGCAGGAGCGCGGTGCTCGATATGTGTTTGTTGAATGAATCGATCCTCATTATGACCTTACAGGGCTGGGGTGACCATCCTCATTTTACTGACCAGGAAATCCCACTCCCAGAGAGGCTGTGCTTCAGGGCCAGGGTGACACGAGGAGAGGGTCCAGGGTGAAGTCCGGAGCTCAGGGCTTCTTGACTCTAAGCCCTAAACCTCCACCTCCACCAGGCCCAGGACTGGGACATGGGGCCGACTCAGTCTGGGGTGTCATTGGCAACCAGGATGTTGCTGAGCATGGCAGGAGGGAAGGCAGGACCCAGATGCACGGAGGTGCAATTGGGCCTCAGCTAATCTTCCTTGTGCCGCAAGGATCCAAGCTGCTCTGTCTTTCGCTCAGAGCTCTCTCAAATATTTGAAGTCAGTTTTCTTGTAGCTTTTCCAGAATTGTCTTTTATCCAGGTTAAGCATCTCCTGTTCCTCCCATAACATGATAAGTCTTTGGGAAAGACACCAGTTCTCTACAATGCTTCCAGAATGTGGGGCCCAGAGCTCCTTCTGGCACTAAGGTTAACTGCCCCATGGACAGCTGAGTGGATTTGTCACCTCCCTCCTCCATGATCTGTATCAGTGTGGCCAAGATTGCATTCAAGCCACCCCATGGACATCTGATTGAAACCCTCAGTCTGGTTCCCGTGGCTGTCCGGCTCCCTTGCTCCCAGCACCTCCTTGCTCTGATCTTGGACATGAACTGTGGCTTTCTTGGATAGTGCAGGATTCTTCATCTGTCCCTGCTGCATTTTGTTTTTACCTCTCTGGGAGTCCAGCTCACCTCCTTCAGTAGTTACCCCCACTTTCTCTTTTGCACGTGTGAAGAGCTGCTTCTAGGTACCTTGAATCAGGTGCCACTGAGAACATGGAACAGGACCAGGGTGATTGTGTGAGTTCTTATCGTGTGTGCTTATCTCAGAGGCTCATCTGTGCTGCACGCTTCCAACAGCTCACTATCAGTTTCAGGTCCTTGAGAGGAGGTGAGAAGAGACCTCAGTAGAGGGGCCAAAAGATGGGGGAGGATGAAATGGTACTTGGGACCCCAGCTTGAGACCTCCCAGCTGCCCCTACAGGGCATTGCCAGGGTACAGAGAAGCTGCCTGGCCTGGGAGAGGCCCACTTTGCAAAGCTCTCATGTATCTGCCCCTGCTCAGGGCTGAGGAGAGCAGAGCTTATCTCCTGATCCTCTCACAGTATCTGCAGGTTCTGCTGAAACAGGAAGGGGCCAGACCTGCTACTCCCAGGTCACCATGGGGAGGGGGAAGAGGAGACAAGACCTCCTCGCCCTCCTCAGGCACCTGCCAGCTTCCACAGCCTTTCCAAGGCAGGCCAAGAAGAGGTGGGGTGGGTTGGGTAATGAACACCTGAACCAGATGGAAAGTAGTTAACTCAAGAAGGGGGCGTGGCATCTCATACCCCATTCTAACCTCACCCCAGTGTGTCCAACAGCAATGCTTTTCAAACTTCAGTGAATGTTGGCATCATGGAGGGGGTGTGTTAAAACACAGATTCCTGGGCTCCAACACCCCCAAATTAAGATTCATGATTTTGCATTTCTTCTTTCTTTCTTTCTTTTTTTTTTTTTTTTTTTGAGATGGAGTCTCACTCTCTCGCCCAGGCTGGAGTGCAGTGGTGTGATCTTGGCTCACGGCAACCTCTGCCTGCCGGGTTTAAGCGATTCTTCTGCCTCAGCCTCCCAAGTAGCTGGCACTACAGGCATGCACCACCACGCCAGCTAATTCTAATTTTTGTAATTTTGGTAGGGACGGGGTTTCACCATGTTGGCCAAGCTGGGTTCAAATTCCTGACCTCAGGTGATCCGCCCGCCTTGGCCTCCCAAAGTGCTGGGATTACAGGTGTGAGCCACCATGCCAGGACTGAATTTGCATTTCTAACAAGCTCTCAGGTGCTGCTGCTGCTGCTGCTGGTCTACAGACCACACTTTAAGGAGCAGTATCTGGTGGGAAGGAATGAGCAATGCAAGAAGAGCTTTCTTTGCCTTCTGTCTAGGGCAGGGGCTGAGTTCACCATACCATCGTTCATTTATTCACCAGTCTTTTTTGAATGTTTACTTCATGACAGGTGTCACGAAGAGGTACAACAGGGAAGAGGGCAATCATGGTCCCTGCCTTTGTGGATCTTACGGGATCTTGGAGGCACAGATAATAAACACCGGAATCTGAAAATTATCCTTTGAGGAAGGCTGAGCAAGGATTAATTCCCCTATTTTACAGGTGAGGAGATGGTATCTCAGAGAAGTTACCTGACTTGTTGAAAGTTACCCAAATGTTAAGTCACAGGACTTGAACTCAGGACTTCTCAACTCAGAATCTGGCCCCTATTCCCTGGCTATGAGCCATCTCAGCTTCATGGGGCTGCACTTAGATGGGAGAGCTATAGACCTTGTGATTATGTTGCCAGTGGGTGAAAGCTGTGGGCTTCCTTCCCGTGTGTGGAAGAAGAGCTTAGGCAGACAGATGGGTAGGCACACATGTTTACATCCCATACATATGGACTCTCAGTTCCTAAGACCTGAAAAATCACAGTTTCATAGTGAGTCACTTCCCCTCCCTTCCTCTCTGTTCACTTCTCCCTATTCTCTCATTTCCTCTAATCTTTGGCTTCCTCTCTGTTCACTCCTCCCTGTTCTCTCATTTCCTCTAAAGCTGTGACCTTGCACAGTGGGAGATCTGCCTAAGTAATGGTCATCCCTTCCAATCAATATGATGGCTTCATCTCAGTGGTAACCCCTGGAGACCCTGCCTTGGTGACCAAGGAGGAGCATAACGGGAGCAAATTATGAGACCTTCCCAGAAGCATGGATCAGCTTGGTTCCTGCTTTCTTGATTCCTTGGTTTCTGTTGACCATGTGATAGGGAAAATCTCTGCTTTCTCTACCACGGAGTTTCTCTGACACTCTAGTGGTGACCAAAACCAGCCCCAAATCTGATTCAGTGGGCTCATACAGTGCCAGGTTGGTGAGGTAAGCCCTCCCCTGAGTCAACAGTCTCCCTTCTCTGTTCTCATGGAGCAAACAGAACGTGAGCCCCCCAAGGACGGAGCAACTCCTGGACCCCACTGGATCAACAAGGCTTGTTCTTCTGGATCTCAGATGCCATGGCGCATTCTTTCAAAGGACGGTTATAGAAACAAGCAGATCATTTCCCCAAAAAGGCCCATTCCCACGTTTACCGATGGAAAAGTACATCACTTAGGGTAAGCTTTCCGGACATAGGAGTGGTCCGCAGTCTTGATGAGAACACATTTTATTGCAGTGAATTAAACATCATAAAAATGGATCAGTTCCATTGGCAGTTTAAATGATTGAGATTCTTTCCAGAGTAGCTACGAAGGCTTTGGCAGATATTACCCCATTTAATTCTCTGAGATTCTTTCCAGGGTAGCTACAAAGGCTTTGGCAGATATGACCCCATTTAATCCTCACAGCAACCTCACGAGGAAGTTAATATTGCCGCACTGTTTCTCAGAGGTGGAGAAATTGCCCAGGGACGGGCAGCTGGTAAGTGGCACAGTGAGGGTTTAAATCTAGCACTGTGCTTCCAAAGTGTGTACAGTTTCACCCACACTGCTTTGCCTCTGTGTTTTAGGCACTTGACCTGAATCAAGAATGAGTCTCCTCTCTAGCCCAGGCCTAATTTTTCTATTCTTTGAAAATAAGGCAGAAATTTCAGATCATTGCGAGTACCTGCTCTACAGGGCAGGGGCTGATCAACTGAAGTGTTGTTCTGCTGCTGTTTTCTTCTCTGCTCCAAACCAAGGATTATGCAACACTCAGATATTATCTTCTGCTTGAGTGGTTTTTGCTCTCTGCTTTCAAGATGACTCTGGGTAGATGAAGATATCCCACTTGTTCGGAAATTAGACACAGGTCGTGTAGAACATTGCGTTTTCCCAAGTTGGCCTCAAAAGTATCTCCTATCCATGTGCTCTTACCGTGTGACCTAGATACTCCCTTCCCTCCAGTAGTGGGGTCTACACTTCAAACCTGCACGGATCTTTGTGATTGCCCTGGACAAGGATGGCAGGACTGTTGCCATGTGACTTCTTCATGTTATTTGCAGAGACAGAGTCTTACTCTGTTGCCCAGCCTACTTAGATCATAGCTCACTGTAGCCTCAAAATCCTGGGCTCAAGCGATCCTCCTGCCTTAGCCTCCTGAGTAACTGGGACTACAGGTGGACACTGCCACACTTGGATAATTATTATTATTGTTTTTTTGTTTGTTTTTTGTTTGTTTGTTGTTTGCAGAGGTCCTGCTATGATCCTGCTATGTTACCTAAGCTGGTCTCAAGCCATCCTCCTGCCTCAGCCTCCCGAAGTGCCAAGATTACAGGCATGAGCCACTGCACACCCAGCATGCCATGTGACATCTGAGGCTAGATTATAAGAATGTCGTGAGCTTCCACCGGGCTTTCATGGACAAGATGCTAACTCTTGGAACTCAGCCACCATGTTGTGAGGAAGTCCAAGTCATCCCACATGGAGAGGCATGTGAAGGTGCTCTAGCTCACAGCCCAGCTGAGGTCCTGGCTGACAGCCTGCATCAGCTGCCAGGCATGAGTGAAGATGCTTCCAGATGATTCTAGCTCCCTCTCATCAGATCACTCAACTTGGATTCTTCCCAGCAGAGGCTCCAGAAATCATAGAGCAGAGATCACCTCTTCCTGCTCTGCTTTGTCCAAGTTATGGGCTGTAAAATCTATGAGCATGATAATATGATTGTTTTACACCAGAAAGTTTTGGGGGTGGTTTGTGACATAGCAACTGGTACAGAAATTATTTGCTAACAAGCAGGCATCTCTCTCAAGGGGGAAAGTCTTATGGTCATTTTTGCGCCCTTTACTGGGGCAAATATGATTGGTAGGGACGATGCCCATCATAGCACCATTGCTTCATCAGAGGCCGTTTGGATCAGTGAGCCCTTCCGTGTTCTTTAGTGACAATATGTTAATATATTTTACTAGTCCATTTCCTACTGACTAGAATATCAGTTCCCTGTGATAAGTTTTCCCCCATTTTGTTTGTTCCTATATCCCCAAAACCCAAACTAGTACAGTTGCTCCTCAACTTATGATGCGGTTACCTCCCAATAAACCCACCACAAAGTTGAAAAATCCTAAGTTGAACCATCTTAAGTTGAGGACCATTTGTGCTTGGTAATTGCTCAATAAATAATTGTCAGATGAATGGTTACAAAACAAACATCAAGTGGGCAAACGCTTTGATAATGATTCCTGGAGAGAATTTTGCTAACATTGCCATGTTCTAGTTGTTATGATAATGTGAAATTACTTTCTGGATAAGGACAAGTTCACATTGTGGTGGGAATTTCTGGAGAATAATAGTTAAATGTTCCCACTTTTTCTTGAAACAGAGAACACAAAAGAATCATTAGGAAAGGTATGATGAGTATTAGGGGCACGTCAGGTCCGTACTTAGGAGTTTGTTCAAGGAGTGATTCGAGTCAACCTTCCTTTGTTGCCTGGCATATGCTGGCTATCATAGGGACCACAAAAAAGTGGAAGATGTAGATGCTGTCCTCAAACTGTGTTGAGTCCAGCTGGGGAGAGATAAGATTGGAATCTATATACAGATAGTCCAATAAGGCAAGCTAGGTCCAGTGGTGAAACTGATAGGGTTTCACCAGCTGAGGCCCCCAAGGGTGAGAGAATGTCAAAGAAGACTTCCTGGAGGAGGCAAGTTAAAGGGAATTAATGGGTTGGGCAGGTGGGCAGCTTCCTGATATACTAATCAGAGGAACACTGAAACCACAGGGATCCATCAGAAATCTGCTGCCTGTTAACTCAGGTTTCCACCTGCAGATTCTCACGTAGCTGGTGGAAATGAAACTGACGTCCCTTTTGCCAAAATAGACAATGCCCCTAAGTAGAAAGAAAAGTTACTCCTCCCCAGCACCAGCCTACCTCTGTGTGGGTATTTCTGCAATGTGCATTGCAAGTTGCTGCATCCACTGGCCAGCCTGGCTGTGAGATCAGCCAGCTGGCAGCCCCGGCAGTGGACATGGCTGGGCAGCCTGAATTCTGAAACCAATTAATGCACTGCAAATAACTGTTTACCAAGAAGATATCTGCAAGCCTTAAAAAATATCTCCTAAAAAGTTGTCCACCTGTAGTCCCAGCTACTGGGGAGGCTGAGATTGGAGGATTGCTTGAGCCTACAAGTTTGAGGCTGTGGTGAGCTATGATTGCATCACTGCACACCAGCCTGGGCAACCAAGTGAGACACTGTCGCTGTAACCGCAAACGCCTGAAAACAAGCAATAAATGTGTCTAGAATAAGACTTGTTATTGCTTCTGCAGTAATTTCTGCTATTTACAAATGAGGGAGAGTGGGTGAGCAATGCTTTCCAGTTGTGAGTCAGGGAAGAATCGGGAAAGACAATTCCAAAATCAATTCCTGTTGGCAATTCCTGTTGGTGTGTGTAATACATCTCCATTTTGAACATGAAGAAAGGGGGTTATGATTTTTATTAATGTGAAAATGACTTCTTGCTATCCTCACTCAGTTGAAATGAAACATATTTGATTATCAATTTGGAAGGGTGCCAAATTTTTAGTCTGCCCCCAGGCGCCCGAGTGTTTCTGATCTGTCCTCCAAGCAGGACCTGTGGCAGGCCACACAATCCTGTTGGTGACATAAGACTAAGAATTCATGTGGAATAATCTCGAAATGCCCCAAAGGCCATGATTAGCACCTGGAGTGAGGAGAGCTCAGGGTAACCACAACTGGAGGAGCAGGTGTCAATGGAAGCCCAAAGCTACCAGCTTAGTATCTCTGAACCATGACATTCCTGGCTGTTCCCTCCTTGACCAATTCTGTTCCATTCTGCAGATAAATATCTTTCCGAATGCAGCCTTGAGTGGAGCTGACCCCGCTGGTACCAGTAGCCTCAGCAGGTGCCCGCAAATATCTGAGACTGGTATCTGCCTGGCCAGGGCATTCATGAATTCTTTGCCCAGAGCAGGTGCTCAAGTTCAATGCTCGATGCTTCACTGCCACCTGGTGGCCTTATGTTGCAAGTCTCTGGAGCTGCCTGTGTGTAGAGAGCCACTCTCCCAGGGTTTATCCTCCAAACAGGAACATCTGTCTAGATGGGAAACTGGGTGCAAACTAGGTCTATGCCACAGGGACATACGGTCACTGTTTTGGAGTCTCCCAGTTACTGGGATATGCATTCTGCAATAGGCTGTCATGTGACAGAGGTGGGAACCAGGAAGCGCTGCTCTCTGAATGTTTGTCAGTGGCTGGATAATCCTCCTGCTCCTCCAGGGCGAGGTGTCTGGGTTATGTCATTTCTTTCTGAATCAGTGATATACGATTTGCTAATGTGAGGCCTTGGGCAAGGTGTTCAATAAGGCAGCACTTTCAGAGTGTCTTCTAGACGCAGTCTCTATTCTAAGGTAGAGCTTTACATATATTAACTCAGAGAGTCTTCACCACAATCCTGTGAGGTGGGAATTAGCATTAGCCCCATTTTACATTTGAAGAAGTGGAGGTCCAGAAAGGTTAAGAAATTTGCCTAAGATCACACAGCTAGGGAAGGAAAGACTCAAGAGTCAAACCCAGACGGTCTGGCCCCGAGTTGGCACTCTTAGCCATCATATCTTCTGGGACTCAGTTTTCTCATCTATACATAGACTATGTTCTTTCCAACACGTACATACCTATGATAAAGTTTAATTTATAAGTTAGGTTCAGTAAGAGATGAGAAATAATAGAATTAAAATATACTGTAATAAAAGTTATATCACTTTGGGAGGCCGAGGTGGGCGGATCACTTGGGTTCAGGAGTTTGCGATCAACCTGGTCAACATAGCAAAACCCCGTCTCTACTAAAAATAAAAAAAATAGCCAGGCGTGGTGGCACAAGCCTGTAATCCCAGCTCCTTGGGAGTCTGAGTCAGGAGAAGCACCTGACTCTGGGAAGTGGAGGTTGCAGTAAGCCGAGATCACACCACTGTACTCCAGCCTGGGTGACAGAGCGACACTCCATCTCAAATAAAAAAGTTATATGAATGTGGTCTTTCCAAATATACTGTACTCAACTTTTTTTTTTTTTTTTTTTTGAGACAGAGTCTCGCTCTGTTGCCCAGGCTGGAGTGAAGTGGCACGATCTCGGCTCACTGCAGCCTCTGCCTCCCAGGTTCAAGAGATTCTCATGCCTCAGTCTCCCAAGTAGCTGGGATTACAGGCACGTGCCACCAGGCCTGGCTAATTTTCACATTTTTAGTAAAGATGGTGTTTCGCCATGTTAGCCAGGCTGGTCTTGAATTCCTGACCCCAGGTCATCCACCTGCTTTGGCCTCCCAAAGTGCTGGGATTACAGGAGTGAGTCACTGCGCCCGGCCAGCTGTTTTTGGGCTGTGGTGGGCCACGGATAACAGAAATCACAGAAAGTGGAACCTCATGCGGAGGGGACTTCTGAATACATTCAGATTGCTTGCTACCTATACACTTGTCTGCATTGAACATTTTTCTGAGAATTGCTTGGGTACCTTGGGTTGGGATGGAATACATAACGTTTCCCATTTGCAGTCATGAAAATATATTTCTTTTTTAGACAGTCTCACTTTATCACCCAGGCTGGAAAGCAGTGGTGCGATCTTGGCTCACTGCAACCTCTGCCTCCTGGGTTCAAGCAATTCATGTGCCTCAGCCTTCTGAATAGCTGGAATCACAGGCGCACACCACCATGCCTGACTAACTTGTGTATTTTTAGTGGAGACGAGGTTTCACCATGTTGGCCAGGTTGGTCTCAAACTCCTGACTTTAAGTGATCTGCCTGCCTCGGTCTCCCAAAGTGCTGGAATTATAAGGGTGAGCCACTGTGCCCGGCCATATTCATGAAAATATTTTTATTTAATAGCTTCTCATTTAGCAGCAGGGTTTCCAGTAACGAATCCGTTAAGTTTGGGAAGAGGGGGATACTCCTGCCCACTTGTCCATCCACACATCTGGATGTGAGACACCTAGGGTCCCTGCTGTGCACACACACGGACAAGCTATGCAACTTTAGTCATTAAATCCAGGTGGATGTGACCTGAGCCACATGTCAACTTTTTATTGATAGCAAAACAGCGACATTGAGGAATGTTTCTTAGACAGAAAGAGCAGACCCTTCTCCATGCGGCCATGCTGGGGCATGTATGACGGGTGGGGATAGTGATCTCTGGGGCTGGGTGTTACAAAGGGAGGGCCAACCCTGCAGCCAGCAGAAGGGGAAGATCGCAGAGCCCCAGAGGTCAGATGCTGGGAGGAGCTCAGCTCCCAGGAGCAGCAGATGCCTCGAGGGCAGGCCGTGGCTGGGGGGTGTGACGCCTGTGTGGGTGGATCCCGGGAGTGGCTGCTGTGGCCGTGGGAACTTCCTGAGCTGGGTTCAGGTACTGGAGTCGGGAGGAGAAGGAAGGGCCAAGGCCACTCGCCTTTAGTCAACCCAGAAGAAGCCCAACTGAAGAGAATGTTCCTCCTTTCCTCTCTTTCCCTAGGATGTGAGCAGAGGAAACTCCTCCCCAAGTATTCCCAGCCCATTTTTGCCAAATCCAGGTCCCTGGTAGCAACCTCATGACATAACCAAATGTCTTTGAAAAGATCTGACCTCAATGGCACCAGAAGGCAGGGCTCACTGATAAATCTTAGGTACCATCATGTTGGCAGTCTTCCTAATGTCCCCTTGACCTCTATGTTCTTAGAGGGGAACGTCCTTGGTAGGAGGCAAGGAGCTGGAATATCTTACTCCATGCAAACTATTGTTATTTTTTTAAAAACAGGGGCTCACTCTGTTGCCCAGCCTGGAGTGCAGTGGCATGATTATAGCTCACTGCAGCCTCGAACTCATGGGCTCAAGCAATCCTCCCCCTTCAGCCTCCCAAGTAGCTGGGACTACAGGCGTGCTCCACCATGCCCAGCTAATTTTTTTAAAAATATATTTTTTGTTGAGATTGAGCCTCACCATGTTGCCCAGGCTAGTCTCGAACTCCTGGGTTCAAGTGATCCTCCTGCCTTGGCCTCCTAAGGAGCCACCACATCAGCATTCACATAGGAAACACTAGTCCAGAGGGAAGCAGCGGGGACTGTCAGATCCTGGTGGCGTTCTGCCTCAGGGGCTCTGGAGCTAATTGCTAAAGCACTTAAACCCTACTCCCCAAAACTGGATGTCATGGTACCTGCCTGGAGTCCCAGCCACTCAGGAGGCTGAGGCAGGAGGATCGCTGGAGCCCAGGAGTTTGAGGAACAGCATGAACAACTTAGCAAGGCTCTGTCTGTATTAAAAAATAAATACATAAATCCCACTCCCCATTTTCACTTTGACAATAGAGGATAAGAAGACACCTCTTGGTGGTGGTTTCTAGGATTAAATGGTACCCAAAGAGTGGATGCTGGTTCTCTGGGCCTGAGACACTCATCTGGGTATAGTTGCTGCCGGCAGCCAGCTCAACCACAAAGGCACACACTGCACAGAGGCCGGCACACATAAGCTGACCAGGTTCGGCACACTGTGCCGACTTTCATCTACTAAGGAGACCGGAGCCCGCGTTACTACCCAGCTGGAAGGGGAGGGTGCTGGTTCACATGCCCTCTGCATCGTGGGCTTCCTTCGCAGGATTTTGATCCTGGAGGAACCACTGACCTGCCCTAGGAGCCAGGAACCAGTGACCAAGGTGAGAGCATCTCTGCTCCACCTGCTGGAGCCCATGGGCCACAGAGGCTACGTCAGCCTTAACAGACAGGAGATGGATTTGTTGCAGGTGCACAGACAGCAATATGTGTGGCCACTTCTTCCTGCCGAGCCCATGGCAGACAACATCCCTCAATCCTCAGAACCCACCAGGGTCACATCGATAGAAAAGCTATTTGCCATCTTTTGTGGGTTGAACCGTATCCCCCCAAAAGATATGTTGAAGTCTTAACCCTGGTATCTGTGAATGGGATCTATTTGGAAATAGGGTCTTTGCAGATGTAATCGAGTTAAGATGAGGTCATAATGGATTATGACTGGGTGTCCTTAGAATAAGCGAAGGGACACAGGGAGAACAGCCCCTGATGTCAGAGGCAGAGACTGGCAGGATGTGTCTGTGAGCCAAGGAACACCAAGAGTTGCCAGCAACCACTGGAAGCTGGAACGAAGCCAGAAAGGATTCTGCCTGAGAGCTTTCGGAGAGAACTCGATCCTGCCAGCACCTTGACCTTGGGCTTCCAGCCTCCAGAATCATAGACTATGTTTCTGTTTCCTCTTTTTTCTTTTTTCTTTAGACGGAGTCTCACTGTTGCCCAGGCTGGAGT